GAAGTCGAAGCGCGAAGTGGCGAGGGTTCACTGTATATTAAACTCTTTCTTATACATATATGAGTGTCTATCCAAAACCAATTTCACTGCCCTTGAGTCAATTCTGAATCATGGTGACCCTGTAGCACAGAAGAGAACTACCCTGATGGGTTTCTGAGACTGTGCCTTTTTACAGGGATAGTGTGGTAGTTACATAATCTGGTGCCAATTTGAGACTATTAAGCGTGAAGGGGTGGAAGTTAGCCTGTCAATCAGGTCACAGCTTGATGACCTCATTTGCTATGGAATCGCTATGGAGATAAATAACTCACTGGAGGCCAGACCCACACTCTCTGCTTCGTCTTCCTGCCAACAAGACACATGGAGCTACGCTGATGGAGCCAGAGCCCTGGAGCTGGAGGAGCCACGTGGAGACCCATGCCAGTGCTGAAATGTTTCCATTGCCACTGGATCCACAAGACTTTCCACCCACTGGCCTGTGATCTTCCTGCATTTGGCATCATTGCATGTGTTGCATGAGTCTGGGGAGAAATATATAGACTTGTATCAGACATATAAGTTAATATCATACTTATGGACTTGATCTAGACTAGACTGGGATATTTTCTCAATATACATGTGCTCTTTTATATAAAACTCTTTCTTATACACGTATGAGAGTCTATTCATTTGTTTCTCTAGTCAACCTGGACTAACCAGGTAAAAACCAAGCCTTTCTCCTGTGGAGCAGCTGGTGAGTTTGAACTGCTGACCTTGTGGTTAGCAGCCCAACTTCAAACTGCTTTTTTAAACCCAGTGAAAATCAAACCAGTTATAAACCTTAAACCAGTGGTTCTCAACCTTCCTAATGCCATTTAATACAGTTCCTCATGTTGTGGTGACCGCCCCCCAACCATAAAATTATTTTCGTTGCTACTTCATAACGGTAATTTTGCAACTGTTAAGAATCGGATGACCCTGTGAAAGGGTCGTTCAACTCCCAAAGAGGTCATGACCCACAGGTTGAAAGCCACTTCCTTTAATAAACTGTGATGAAAGCAGATTTTACAATTACAATGATCACAATAGGCCACTAGCAGATTTTGCAATGATCACACCATACAATTCATACTCTAAACAATGTGACAGAAAGACAGGGTCTGCGTGTTTATAGTAAATTATACCTACATTTCTCCAGGAGTCATGAGACCACCATCCCCTGACGACTCATGCATCCCTGTTGATCTAAATGGGGGAGTGTTTTCATGCTGGGCCTGACCACATAACTCTTAAACCCCATGGGGCTGCTTTGAGCCTGGCTACTTATCTTTATCTATTGATTTATTTACTTTTAATTCTTCAGCCTTGTACTCATTTGTCATTAGTTCCCCATTTCCCCTAAGCTTGCCTGTCCTATGCCCAAAGGACCATTACATCTCTATAAATTTACCTATCCTGGACTTCACATATAGAAAAATATTAGCACGCACATACACACACACAACTAACAAAGATAACAAAGTAAATCAGATAAAAACCTCCATCAAAAATAAAGGAGAACATATTAAAAACTAGAACAGATTTAAATGAATCCCAAAGAAGATGAAACGATAGGGTGCTAAATTCCAACCTCACTGCATCTGCAACATTGCACTTTCCAAACCATTCTGCATTCCAGTGAACAAGGCTGTTCACATCCCTGGTCCACGGTCAGAGGGGATTCCCTAGGGGCTTGACCATGTGTATTTCCCCTTCACTTAAAAAAAAAAAAAAAGGGAAACCGGTTTAAAATGAGCCTCAAGGGAGATCAAATGCTAAGATGTTACATTTTGACATACTCTATTTGCCAAAGTTGAATTTACAATGCTCTCTGTGTGATAGCAGGGCTATTCAGATCCCTCAGCTGTGATCAGAAAGGATCCACTGGAGGCTAAGTCCATGTATGGACCATGCAAATGGATTGGGGGCTCCCATTGACATCCATAGCCTTCTGCAAACCAGGTGTTCACTATTTAAGCTTTGATACCATTGTCTTCTTTCGATTTGGCTTATATTATTGACAAAGTGTGCCTCACATAGGCTGGTGTGCTTCTTCCACGAGGACTTAGTAGATGCCTGACTTAGATGGATGCTTGTTTGAAAACAAGCCTTTAAGACCCCAGAAGACATTCTTCCTGTTAGCCTGGTACCATCTTGTTTCTTCACCACACTTTGCTATAGTAGCTATCTCTTCAGTTGAGGGTGAGCATCACACAGAGCATGTCATATGAGCAAATTATTTTCAGATTTGGGCTAGAATTAAGTGCAAGCTCAAGATCCATTCATACAACTCTGATTTGTATATGTCTCACTATCAATCATATCATCCTCCTGGGGCATCACTTCCAACTGCCATCAAGTCAGTGCTGACTCATAGGGCAGGGTAGAACTGCCCCTGCGAATCTCTGAGCCTGCAAATCTTCACAAGGCGAGAAAGCCTCACCCTTCCTCTATGGAGCTGGCTGGTGGTTTCAAACTGCTAAACTTGCAGTTAGCAGCCTGATATGTCACCCCTACTCGTTGATAGTGTGATTAGTTTAGGCAGTAATATAGAAGTCAAAACACTGCTGAGAAAAGAACGTTACAGAATGTAGGCTAACTATGAACTGCAATATGTGAATTGTTGACTTATATAGATGAAATCCTTAAGGGACTGGACACTATGCACACAAACAATGGGGCTTGGTGATAGGGCAAATCTTCCAATGATATCCATTCAGTGCAGCAGAGCCACACCTAACACATTAATTAATGCAGGTCATAATGAAGCGAGGAGTACATTAAACTAGTAAGTATATGGTAGTTCTGGGCCACCATTCACTGGGCACCCTCAAGGTAAGAGATTTGAACTAATGTCCAACATCTACCAGTCCTTGGGCTAGTAGTCTTCTGCTTCTTCTCGCACTAGGGGGTTTCAGATCCAATGGATACAGATTTGGGTTTGAGGTAAATCCCAGTTCCTTTAGTGGGGTTTCCCCATCAGGCCCTTCTAGGGTGGCCTATGAAGGATGTTGTGCACTTCAAAAGAAGACTAATGTCTCAGTAGTCTATATAGTCCATGGAGTGGGTCACAAAGGGCTACCTAGTAACTGTGCAATTAGGAACATAGACCAGATGTATTCTCCCTTTTGGTTAAACATTAAGCATTGGGAAGTGCTTTTGTTTATTTATTTACTTACTTATTCCTGTCGGGAGGTGGCTCTTCCTCATTTTCCTACCAACAGAGAGGTAATTGCCTTATCTGAGACATGCCGACTTTTCCCCCCAAACCCCACCCCGCATCCCATCTTGACTTGAATTTCCAGGAATGTGGTGGGAGTGTCTACGGATTGAGATGACCTTAACACAATTTGGATGGCCGCAACTGAATAATCTCCCCCCTCTCCCCAGGACCAATGATGTAGGAGTCCACTACTGTAAGATAAACATCAAGAGAAAGCAGCCCACTGCTCCCAGGTCATAGATTCATCCAGTCCCTTAAGAGAAGATAGAGAGCCTACCTAGTGGCGATAGGTACCGCCCCTTTTAAATGTTCATCTTAAAAACCACTTTGACAGAGGACACCTCCCACAGCTCTTTTAGGATATAGCTGCTTATCATACTCACCTTACTAGCCTCCTTCCTGAGTGAGAACATCTGTACTGATTAAGCTTAAAGGAAATTTTTATTGCCAGGGAAGGGACTGTTACCTTTTGGACTTGTAACAAACTAAATATTAAATTATATTATTTTTCTAGTCTGTTTGTTGTTGTGTAATATGGAATGCTTCACACATGTGCGTGCCATCATGGCGCAGGGGCCATGTTAATCTTCTCCGTATTGTTCCAGTGTTAGCAGATGTGCTGCCGAAGTAAGCAGTCTTTCTAGCATTTGTATTAAAAGTAGGCAACTCTTTCACCCCCCTTCTCAACCACAACATCAGTAGTTCAGAACCACTAGCCACTCCATGAGAGAAAGCTATGGTTTTCTTGTCCTGTAAAGAGTTACCTTCTCTGCCTTGTTCAACAGAGCCACTATCAGTCGGCATTGATTAAGTGACAGACAGATAGACAGAGAGAGAAATCCCTAACTATTGCCTCTTGTCCCTCAAGTAGAGATAACTCAGAGACAAGTCTGTGTAGAGATCCTGAGTTTGAAACTGTTCATTCAGATTTGGCACCCAGGAGAGAATTTTAACTCCCCCATACTGAATCAGAGTCTACCTTGTCACAAATTCCCCAGGCAATTTTTTAATTTGCATACCTAAAAATCTTCTGGGAATCCTGTAGCAAGGTAGATTCTGATTTAGAAGGTCTGTGGTTGAAGGGCAAATTCTCAGCAGGGGTCTGAATGGAAACACAGTGTAAGAAGCCTTCCAACCCAAACCATCCAAACAATTGCCATCAGGTCCCTCTTAACTTACAGAGACCATCTTTACAGTTTTTAAGATGCTAACTCTGCAGGGCGGTTAGAAGTCCAAAACTTGTGTGGCAGCACGACCAGAGATTCTTAGAAGCACTCTAGGGAGAGGAAAATATTACACGGTGTGTGTTGACCCATGGAAGATCTCGAAGATTGTAATATTAGATTTAACTCTTTGAATGTTTTCTCATAGCTGCCAATGCAAGTAGCATGGTTAATAGTAACTGCTCCGTGGTGCCTAGGGTATGTGCCATGTCTGAGATACAGGCTCTGGGTCTGGTTACCTATGTGGACTAAGAAGCTTCAAAATAGCTTGGGGGAAAAAATTGAACCCAAACCCTCCCAATCTTACCAGGGCTCCAGCAAACCTGGAATATGCAAGCTTGCAAAGGCAGCCTCAGAATGCACCCACCGAGGTGAGGAATCAGATCCTACGAACGACCACTTCTCTTTCTCAGAAGGCTGTGCCTCCTACTAAAAATGCAAAAACTTGTTCTAGGAAGACGAGGTCCTCAAATGTGCTATCAAGGGCCTTCACAAGCCAGACTATGTCCCAGGGCCAGTCGCTAGCCCTAAATGTAAAGTCAAAAAAGTCTGTTCTCCACAATTTTATCAGACAGAATCAATCAGCCACCTAAGGGTCTATGTAAATTAAACTCAGTGCTGGTCTCTAGGGCTCACAGATTAAAATGTCCCTGTTCCCCAAACTCTGCAACTGAACAGGGAGACTTGAAATTGAATAGACCATTACAATATGGTATTTGGCACAGATTAGAGCATTTGCCATAGACCAGGCAATGATTCTCCTGTTTTGCATGAAGTCTCTGTGCGTTGGAGCCAACCCAACTGCAGTTAACAGCAGTAACAGTAAAGTCAAGCAGAGGCCAGAGAGATGTCCGGGTCAACCCCTGATGCCAGAAAGCTCAATGTAGTAGTTACATAATCTCATGTCAACTTGAGGCTATTAAGAGTGAAGGGGTAGAGTCTTACCTGTAAATCAGGTCATAGCCTGATGCCCCCTTATGGGTGTGGCTTTCTCATGAGGATTCTGGGAACTTCCTTCTTCCTCCCAGGAAGTCTGACACTCCCTTTCTCTGCTTCACCTTCCTGTTAACAATCCACATGGAGCCGCGCTGAGGGCAGCCAGCACTCTGGAGATGCATCCACTGCCACTGGATCCACAAGACTTCGCACCCACCAGCCTGTGATTTTCTGAATTCTGCCTCATTACATGTGACTGCGTGAATCTGAAAAGTGATTTATGGGCTGGTATTGGACTTATGGGGTATTATTGGATTTATGGGCTTGATCTGGACTGAGCTGGGATGTTTTCTCAATATACAATTGCTGTTTGATATACAGCTCTTGCTTATACACATATGAGTGTCTATGGATTTGTTCTTCTAGTCTACCCAGCTTAACACATTCAGGAAAAGCTTTTCAAAAGATGTGATGCTTGAGTTTGGTGAAACGTCTGTTCTCATGTATCCCCAAATGCCATTGTGCCACTCCAAGACTCACTTGTTATGATCACAGAGGAGCTGAGGAAATTTCTTTCCCTGGTGTGGCAGCATATGATATCTTGGTTCAGAAACTGAACTTCTGTTTCCAAAGCTCTCCACTAGGGAAGCCATACTTAGAAACAATAATAATAAGAATATGAAAACTTCACCTTAGGGTGACAACACCACTGGGATAATTACTAGCATTTATTAGAAACCAGCGTCCACTAAAACATCCTTTTCTGGGTCAGGAGGTCTTCTGTAAGATGGAAACCATTTAGGTGGCCTAGCCCTGGAGTTAGGTACTAGAGAGAAAACATCAGAAAAATATTTCTGCTGCCCTGTTGGGCTAATTAATAGTAGTGACAGGCACTGACCTGCTCTGGGAAAGAAAGACAAGCCAGGTATAATTATCATAGGCTCCCTGGTGGGCAACTAAGTCTAAAAATGCAAACCTGATTAGCTGAGGTCAGGTTTGAAAGGAGACAAAATCTGGATCCTAGGTTCTTAAATTTATTTGGCCTTTTCAGAAAAAAAAAACAAAAATAATTCTCAGCACCCCTCTGCTTTTGTACTATAGCCCATGATCCAGGATACAGTATAGGTACCTACTTTTGCAGCCCCCCTGAATCATGCCAGTGCGCCCGAGGGAGTGACGTTACCACTTTGGGAAACACTGAGGCAAAGGCAGGTGGGAACGTCAAGGGGCACTGCCATCCTTGGTCTTCATCTTGGTCAAGAAACATTTGCGTGCAGCAATCCCGAGCGCAGTGCAAGCTCACGTGGGAGCGAATCCGTGTTGTTTTCAAAGACCCGGAAACACAGAGGGTGTCTCACTGCAGACTGGGCACACGATATGCAGGGAATGAATGGCGCTGAGGATGTATGGAATGAATGGAGCACATAGACCCAAGGTTAATTTTGCTGCTGCCATTTATTCCTTTGTAGCTTTTGCATAATTTCACCAAGCTATACAACTCAGGTCTTCTGTGAAAGGGAGAGGGGATTGGGGTGGGGGTGGCAGCAGGGAGGAATGAGAGTGGGAGAAAGAGGGCAAAGAGTATCTATTGCCAGATAAAGACAAGATGCCTTGCAAAATCTGAATTTCAGATAAGCAACAAATGATTATGTTATTATAAATGTGTCCCGAGTATTCTATGGGATATACGTATGCTAAGATTTCTTTGTTGGCTGGCTGGAATTCAAATTTAAGTGGAACTCCTATGTTGTATCTGGCAAAGGTATCCATTTCAGAAGTAGAGTAGGTTAATTGAACTTGAGGTAACTATTATTTCTGAAATCTCTTCGACTGAGTTCTTAGACCTCTGTCACTCTCATTACCATCTAGTCAAAGCCAACTCAGAGCAAGGCTATAGGACCAACTAGAACTTGCCCTGTGGATTTTTCTGAAAGTCTAGTTCTCTTTTCATTTTTTTAAGATCATTTTATTGGCGGCTCTTAGAGCTCTTACAACAACCCATACATCAATTGTATCAAGCATATTTGTGCATACATTGCCATCATTATTTTCTAAACACTTACTTTCTATTTGAGCCCTTGGTATCAGCACCTTATTTTTCCCTTCCACACGTCCTCCCACCCTGGGGACCCCTTGATAAAGTATAAATTATTATTATTTTCATATCTTACACCGATGGCTGTCAACCCTTCCCTCCATGGGTTCTGTTGTTCATCTGCCTGGGGGTGGTGGGGGCGGGGTGGTTTTGTGCCGATAATTGCAACCCTTCCTCTCCACCTCTCCCCACCTTCCTCCTATCCTCTTAGGATCGCTACTCCCACTTCTGTTCCTGAGGGGTTTATCTGATCTGGATTCCGTGTGTCATGAGCTCTTATCTGTACCAGTGTACATGCTCTCGTGTAGCCAGAACTGAAAGGCAGGACTTGGGTCATGATAGTGGGG